AATCGGATTAGATTAGCATAAGACCCTAATCACCCCCTCTAGGGTCTAACAATGATCAAGTAGTTCACTGACATAGGAGTATAACGACTGTGATTAGAACAGAGACACATCGCATGATAGGCCACTATCAATAAACAGCGTCATTTGCATAAATGACGATGTTGAAATAATCAAGTCGCTCTGTGACATGGGAGTATAACGACTGTGATTAGAATAGAGACACATGACATGGTAGGCCACTATCTTCGATCGTTTTAGGGAGATATAACGTTCGAATAAGATTAGATAACTAATCATCGCATGATAATCATATTTTATTACAGTTTTATACCCTCATTATCTATTTTATATGAATAAATATACCACTAATAATTATTTTTATCTTTTAATTGCAGGTTAATGAAGAATAAATCTCAAACTCTCATCTCTCAACAAAAACCCATTGATTAAATGAAGAAATGAAGCAAAGAAGCACATTGGAAAATCAATTTCCAAATTATCCAAAAGCCCAGAATGAAGTCGTGTAGCCTGTAGAAGCCGGAGAAAATCAAAAATCCAATATGAAAAGAAATCATATTCAAAATGGTTGGCCACAAAGAAACGACGATATCTCCTAATCCGGAAGGCGGAATTTAACATATAATATATGAAAATCGCCTATCTCGACGAGACGAAGCTATCCGTGAAATCAGAATTTGGAAATAGTGGGCATCGATGTCGGCATCGATGTGGGCATCGATGCTGGCATCGATACCTGCATCGATGCCTGCATCGATGCCAGATTACTGTAGCGCGCGTCAATGGCTGATTTTGCTTGTCTTGGGGCTCAAGTTTGATCCAATGGCTCTCATTCACTGATGTTTACTATAAATAGGGGTAGAGAGTGAGGGGTTAGAGGTGTGAAAATTTTGTAAACTCCTTTTGGAGAGGAGGGCTACTCTTAATTGAGAAGGCCTTCCAAAAATTGTAACTTTAGTTGCAATTAATAATAATAATTTTTTCACCACTTTAAATATTTCTTCTCTTTGTTGGATGATGAAGATGGAGATGAAGAATTATTTAGAGGTTTGCATTTTCTTTCCTTTTTCTCTTTTATTTCCTTTTTATTGCTTATTAGTGTAGATTTATTTCTATGCTTGTAGTTTAGATTTTATTTTCTTGTTAAATAGCCAAGAGGCTAGAACCCTCTTGCCTTAGATTTATTTCATGCTTATAGAATAGATTTAATTTCTTGCATTTAATTCTTGCAATTTTATTTTGTAGTTTAGATTTTGCACTTTATTTTGTAGTTAGATTTTAATTTCTTATACTATTCACCTTGAGGCTAGAACCCTCTTGGGTTTAGTTTTTCTTTTTGTTTATTTTTATTTTGTTTGATTCGCCTTTAGGCTAGAACCCTCTAGGGAATCACCATTTTCTAAGAAGTGGGTTCAATTGTAGATTACCCATATCTATAATTGAATCCACCATCTTTAATTTCTTGCATTTTCTTTTATTCTTGAATTTTATTTTCTTTATTCTTGATTTTTATTTTCCTTTTCCTTCTTGCCTTATTAATCATATTCATTCTTTGTCACATCCACTCTCACTTATATCTCGTGCCGATTTACACACTATCACTTCCACTCTCTCTATCTCTCCACAATCACATTCACTTATCACTCCTTCTTGTCACACACACAACATAAGAACCGATTTTATATTTTCTCCTACAAAACACCTTCCCCGTGGGATCGATATCTTAAATACTATAACTTGACACGGTTGTGCACTTGCAACCTTTTTGGTACATGTTTATGCCGCATCAGTGACTATTATTTTTCGAATTATGACTTTATTGCGTGTTTTTTGTCAAAAACATTGTGATTTCATTGCCATGAGAATGATACAGGCTCTATGAATCAAAGAGAGAATGACTTCATATGGACATCAAACGGTCCATTTAAGGTAAGTTGTAGTTTGTGAGGTTAGTTGTAGTTGGTGATTATCATATTTTAGTTATGGTATTCAATGTTTTTTATTTTTTGTTTAGGGCCTGCTATGGTGTTCTGAGGTTTGTCATACAAAATAGCAACAAAGTCTATGAGGTAACTTGTCTTACTTGTTTACTTTGCGAGTTATTAAAATCACATGTATTTTTTGTCATATCCTAGTCATATCTATTTTCCAAATATCCGTATCCAAAATGTATCCGTCTCTCTAATATTCGAACCATATCCGTTTCCGTTTAATGCAGATATGGTAATGCTTTTTTCTTACTGATGAATATCCGAACCGTATCCGTATCCATTTTTAGAAAGTGATTATGGTTAAGGTAATGGTCATATCCGAGCCGTATCCGAACCGAATGCACCCCTACTATGCTGCCTTATTACGGATTCTTCAGTATCTCCGGGGTACTAGCACTCGCTCTCTTTTATTTTCTGCTACATCCAAGTTAGAGCTTTGTGCATATTCTAATGCTGATTGGGCTGGTGATCCCGCTACCAGGAAGTCTACCACATGTTATTGTATATTTCTTGGTGATTTCCTAATTTTTTGACTGAGTAAGAAACAAGATGTTGTTGCTCTTTCCAGCATCGAGACAGAGTATCATGTAATGTCCACAACAACTAAAAAGATTATTCATCTTCGTCGTCTTCTCAGTGATTTCAGTATTTCTATTTCGACTCCTACTCCTCTATACTGTGATAATAAGAGTGCCATCCAGATTGTTAAAAATCCAGTGTTTTATGAAGGACCAAACACATTGAGATTGGCGCTTATTTTGTCCGTCAACAAGTTATCAAGGATAAGACAATTCTACTTCCTCATGTATCATCCGCCGACGAGCTTGCAGATTTCTTCACAAAGACCTTACATGTTCATCGGTTCCAGTTTCTTGTACGCAAACTCACTTTGTTTGATCCAACATGAGTTGGCGGGGGGAGGGGAGACTGTTGATAATAGTGTTGATAGTGGGTTTTTAGTCTCACATTGGTTGTGAGAACACACCTCACCCTCCTCTACTTGTATAAATATATGTGCACACCTAATATTCAATTTAAGGGAAACTTACCCAAAACTCTCTCTCTTACTTTAACACTCAAAATGTGAAATGAAATTATAATTTGATTCATAAAAGGAAATACATAAATAATAAATATTTATAGTCGGAATCTCATGGCATTATTGTTGTACAGCTAGCTAAGGAAAACTATATACAATAAAGTGCATAATATATCACTGACATTTAATTTTTGCTATTGATGCGTTAGATACCAATATCTAGGTTGTATAAACCTTTTTATGCTTGTCTTTATATCTTCATTTACCATTTCTATCAGCAACAAATGCTGCCATTTAGTGCTATTATTTCCTGCTCTTCTTAAGAGATTTCAGTCTTTCTATTTTACAAATGATCAAGAAGATTTTAAATTACTATATAGAAACGCATGAGCACAAATTTGTTTGGCAACAATTAAACACAGAATACATGGAATTCTTTATAATTAAAAATATATAATAAAAAGATTATTCAAATCATCAAACATGACACCGGTCAAGATGGTAAATAAGCACAACAGCCGCGTTTAATCTAATTTTTAATAGAGTTTCATTAAAAAAATTACTCTTTCTTAAATAGAAATTTTGCATGGATCTTGCCAAAATTGTGGAGAAATTGTTCCGCAAAAGGAAAAGATTCTGAAGTCTAACAGCCTGCACAAAAAAGGAAGCGAAGCTCACATGCGATGCTATTGGGCGCCGCTTTGTATCCAGCACGTGTTAACCCGAAACCGCTTTCCTCGAGGGGGCCCACTCGAAGACACAGAAACGTCGCCGCGCCCACCCGTTACAAGGGCAAATTTGTAATTTCAGTGCCACAGGCGGTGCCTTCGCAAGAGATAAAACTGCCCTCTTTCTCTCAGCCATGGCTCGCCACTCCTCGTCAACTCCCACCATCATTTCGTCCAGGTCCCAATTCTCATTTCTTTTTGCAAATCCATATTAATATTTACAAATAACCCCCTGGATCATTCAAATCTAGTTGTTTTTGGCTCCATTTAGGCAAAATGGCAAGAGGAGGTAGGGTTATCTACAAAAAACCCAACAACGGAAGCAGGAAGCGGAAGCCTCGATCCAAGGACGACGAAGAAGATGACGATGGGGATGAGGAGTACTTAATCGAAGAGGATGAAGACGAGGAGTCGGAGAGCAATTACGAGTCCGATGTTAACTCTCGTGATTTGTCCGATGAAGAAAGCTTCGAGTTCGATGAATCCGATGGCGAGTCCGAGATCGCGAGATCTCCGAAGAAGAAACAGAGGGGTTACAAGAAACCCAGGGTTTCTGATGATGAAGTGACCGAGGATCTACCGAAAAGGGGAAGGGGGAGAGCGAAGAAGCGAGAATCTAGGGATTCAGATTACGAATTTGATGAGGAGGAGGATGAAGATGAGGATTTTTCACCGGATGAGGACGATTTCGATGAGGATGAGGGTTTGCTGGTCTCGAAAAGGAGAGGAGCCGTTAAGAATGTTAGAAAGAGGCGAAGATCAAAGGTTTCTAAGACAAAGGGGAGAAAGAAAGGTAGATCAAACGCTTTGCCTGCAAGAAAGAGGCAAAAAAGGACGATCGGGAGCTCCGATGATGATGATGATGATTTCGTAGTGAAAGATAGGGTTTTAGTTGGGAGAAAGAGAACAAAGAGAACGAATAAGAGATCGTCGGTTGATTCAGAGTCTTTAAATTCATATTTTGTGACATCTGATGATGATTTCGTCAAGAAAGATATAGCTTTGATTAATAAGCAAAGGAAGAACAAGAAGACAGCAGCGAAGAAGACAGTGAAGAAGAAGATGGAAGGACCTAAGAAATGGAGAAAGAAGAGATCTGCAGAGGATTCAGAGTCATCGGATTCTGATTTCGTGGTTTCTGATGATGATTTTGATTTGGAGGATGATTTCAATTATGTCCAAGAGCAAATTGTAGTAGATAAGCGACAAACTAAGAACGAGAAGCAGAAAGATGTGGGATTTAACGATAGGAAGAGGAGGAAGAGAGTCGTGGATTCTTCGGATTCTGATTATTTAATTTCCGAGAATGATGATGAATTTTTGATTGAAGATGAATTTTTGATAGATAAAGAGAGAAATCAAAGCAAAAAGACAAGGGGAAAGAGAACAGGGCCTAAAACCAAAAGAAAGAGATCGAATTCATTGGTGGATTCTGACTCTGAATCATTAGATGTTGATGAGATGACTTTGGAGGAAGAGGTTATGGATCTGAGAAGAGGAGGGCTTTTGATGATCGAACAACCAAAAAGGGTCACTGCTACAAAGAAGGCAGAAGAGAAGGGTAAAGAGAGGCAAGTCGATTCATCGGGGAAGCAAGTGTGCGGTGTATGCTTATCAGAAGAGAAGAAGAGTGTTATTCAAGGTTTGCTCAATTGCTGCTCTCATTATTTCTGCTTTGCTTGCATAATGGAGTGGTCAAAAGTGGAGTCAAGGTGTCCTTTGTGCAAGAGAAGGTTTGAAACGATCACTAAATTGGGCAGATCAGATCCAGAGTTTGGGATGAGTAGTAGTGCAGTGGTAAGGGTTCAGAAGCGTGATCAGGTATACTGACATTTCTCCTGTTTTGCTTATGAAAATTGTTGCTCTCATACAAATATTTTAAATATCGGTCATTGGGGATTCATCGGACGGTCAAAATCCATATCGGATAGCGGATATCGGGGATATATCGGGGATAAGTAGTATTTATCGGAGTGACATTACCGGATGGTGATATACATAATATAATATTTTAAAATATAATCTAATTATACTTAATGAAATATAAGCATATCAAAATGTAAATAATTATGTTCAGGATCACTAACCAATGGTAAAAACTTGGGTCGAGTTAGGTTTAAAGTGCATTGAATAGGTGTCTGTTGCCCGAAATCAAAACTCAAACCAAAGGCCGATAATTCCAATTTTTGGGCCGACAATATTGGCTGATAACTCACTTTATCTCCACGTTATTAGCGATAAACATCCAAAAACGATAACCGATTTAGAATCGAACTTATAGCAGAAGGCGCCCAAAACCGATAAATCACCGATAATATCAGTTTATCGGCCGATATTTAAAACATTACTCCCATCTTTTGTAATGCTTTGTTTATGATGAACAAATGGTAGTTTTCTCTTGAGTTGTTGTCCAGGGAATATTCAAATTTGCATTAGATAATTGGCTGTCTTGTTTCAATATGTATAGCTAGTTTATCTGTTGTAGGATTATATATTTTAGATAGAGAGGCTTATTGTTCACTTGAAATCAGCCATCTTACCAATTTGAAATAAAGAGAGCTGATCAAGTGGTAAGCGCTTATATGGTAAGCGCTTATATACAGTTGGAACTGAAATCAATTGACATCCCTGTTTTAAACAATTCTGAAGAAGTTTATTAATGTGTGTTCCTCTGTTCATGCATTGACTAGTGGAGAATCTCCTCTACTAGTTCAAGCAGATGTTGGTATGAAAGCATACATTTTCCATGGCACTATTTTGTTGGGCTAGTTCCTAATTAAATTGGGTGATGACTGAAAGAGAAAAGTATAGTTTCATCATATAGAGATCAGAAGTAGAAAATGTGCTAGTGTAATATTGTCTCTTAATTAAATTAGGTTATTGTCAAGTATGGAGACTGACCATTCTTTCCTTATTTTTGCAATGAAAACATTCTGTGAATCGGTGATGTGATGAATTCATGCAGATGAAAATTGGAAATATTTTTTTCCAGAGTGCTTTATAGATTTTTTTACTTTGATGATATGTTTAAGTAGATAAAGGAATTACACAAGTTACAAACTAGAATTATGATTTGAAATTTTCATTTCTATTTAAGGTAGTTGATTTTCTTTGGAATACTCTGTTCTTAGTGTTGATTTTTCTACTTTGATTCTATAGGTTTATCAGCCATCTGAAGAAGAATTGCGGGGTATGTTAGATCCATACGAAAATGTAGTCTGTATGGAGTGCCAACAAGGGGGAGATGATAACCTAATGTTGCTATGTGATATTTGTGATTCCTCAGCTCATACCTACTGTGTTGGTCTGGGGAGGGAGGTACCTGAAGGTAACTGGTATTGCGAATGTTGTAGATCTGTGAATGAAGCAGCATCTCAGTCCCAGTTTCAGGAAACTACGACTGGTCAAGAACCAATCAACAATAGCTTTTTCAGTGCTACCAGTCTCAATGTAGACTCCCCGCGACCAGTATCTTTGTTTGGCTGCCCTTCTTCATTGAGAATTGACCTCAATGCTTCCCCTAGAGATTTTCCTGGGGATAATCATTTTGTTCCCTCTCCTATCTCTGGGTCTGGGGCGTCAACTCTTATGGGAAGAAGACATATACGACAGCGTATACATGTCATCCTCTCCACCGATAGACAGAGGAGAACCCCCACAAGAACTAATACGTCGCAGCCTAGTTCAGTAGCAACTATTGCAGAGAATTGGGAGACTTCACCTATGGCAGGCAATCTGAGTCTGCCCTCGTTATTAGGTTTTCAGCAGCAACAGCAAAATCCCAGGCCTTTCTTCCACACGCATACTAATTTGGCTCCATGCATGCTTAGTGAAGGAAGTAGTTTAAGACATGTAGATGGTGCGAAGGAAGAAGTGCGAAAAATGGTGAGACATCATCTAAAAGACCTCGCCAAGAACAGGACAGTGGGTATGTCTTACTTGATCTTGATGGCCTTTTACTTTCAGGTTAATTGTGCACATTTACCTTCTTGTTTGAAGATTTAGTTTACCAATTAATACTCAATATATTTAATTGTTTTCTGATTGTGTCATCATGGAAATTTCATTATCTAAAGCTCAACTGAATTAACTATTGACACTTGCTTGTTCCAGGATTTATTATCTGAAGCTCTAATTATAACATCTAATTTAATATTATGCTATTATGCTATAGAGGCTAGGCAGTCTGCCTCTGTCTGGGCCAATCTAGTTCTAGAGGTTGAAAAGCTTATATTATGCTATTATGCTATAGAATGTAATGTGTCGAAATTCTCTCTTTAGGTTCTTATGTTACTCAACTAAAGCATTACAATGATAAGTTATATTGGCTATTGTGTTTTCTCATACCCATTTATAAATTTTTACTCTGTATGCATGTGTGTGGTTTATTTCTTTGTTTATTTATTTTAATATAGAGCTGATTACTGGAGCTGATGTTGAAAAACAAGAACTCACTTGCATTAGGACATCAGTTGATAACTGGTGCTGATGACTTCAAACATTATCTCATAGAAACGCAGAAAAATGGAGAGATAATTGCTTTTCTTCTAATTAGGCTAGAGGGGTCATTGATTGGGACAAGTTGGGGCCAAGTGGGATAATTGTTCCAATGGAACAATTTTATCTCTTTGGGATATTTTGAGCGGGATAAAGTGGGATAAGTTGGGATAATGAGACAATTTGAAGCTTTGATTAAAGCGAGATTGCTCTTTCCAGAAAAGTTCTTTCAAGTGCAATCACAAAGAGCATGGACAAGTATAGCACATAGAATGGAAAGCTTGTTTGTATAGGTTGGGCGAGTGTGACGATGAAGGGATTCCTCGAAATAAACACTAGCTGAAATGTGATCCTAATGTTCATCTTTCGAATGGTTTGGTTTAACCATAATGTGATGATTGATTTCAATACAGTTGGCATTAGATCATATGCCTTAACCATCCGTGATCTGTATGCCTCAAGGTTTTCAAAAGCATTCAATCGCCTCCCGTCCAGCGACTTTAGTAACCTTCTCGGTAGTGCACCTAAGTGCAAAAAGATAGTGCAAACTTTGTTATGCTGAAACCTAAATGTACTTCTAATTGCCACGTCTTTCTTTTGCTCCGGGGGGTTTCCCATCTCTTTGGAAGCTAGGAGGAGTTCAAATTGGAATGAAGACGATCATAAACTTCCCTAAAGGAGTTAACAGAACTAGGCATTTCAGAATCCACGTCAAATATGAAAGTTTGATGTATGCAAAAAAAAACAAAAAGGTTTCGTCAACCTGAAGCCGCCAAAGCACTCCCAACGGCCTTTGATCGCCTTCCCGCTAGATGGACTAGCCTAAATGTATGACTAACTTTTCAAAATTCATGCATTGTGACCTGGCCCGGAGGAAAAGGAAGTTTAACCTTCATCATCATCACAAAAACTCTCTCAAAGTGAGAGTTCCTACGCTGACAATTCATGTGGGAAAATTAATGATGTGTGATCTTATTAAAATATAATTTTATTTATCAGTTAATTTAAATTAATTTATCCAATTGGTTTAGTATATTATTTACTATGTTATTAGAATATAATATATTATTTTACTTTGTACTAAAATATACTATGTTATACTATAATTACTAATTAATATTATAATAATTATTATATTATATAATATCATAGTATATTAGTATGCTATATTATATAATAATAGATATAATATAAGAACAATATATTTAATATAATATTTCAATAATATAATATTTAATTTAGTACATTATTTTGTTTATACTAAACTATAATATGATATACTATGATTACTGATTAATATTATTAATTATTATATTATATTACATTATATTAGTATGCTATATTAGATAATAATTGATACAATATATGAACAATATATTTAATACAATATTTTAATTATATTATATATTAGAATATAGTATCATAGGATATAATGTACTTTTTTAAATATTATAATATTTTATTTTATTCAATGTAATATTTTTAAAAATAAGGTATCATATTATAGTATAATATATTATATTATTTCAAAGTATATTATTATATTATATCATAATATTTATTAATATTGGCAACTATTATATTATATTATAATAGTATGTTATATATAATAACTGATATAATATGCTAACAATATATTTAATTTAATATATCAGAATATAGTCATAGGTTATAATTTACCACATCAAATATTATAATATTTTTTATTCAATATAATATTATTTAAAATACTATATTGTAATTAAAATATAGTATAATATTATATGATAATTACTATAATATATACATAATATCCAAAACATATTATATTATAGTACAATAATATATTTTGTTATATTAATATAATCACATGACATGATTTATATTATATTATATTATATAATTAAATGTAATATATTAACATATTCATTAATTTAATATGGTATATTATATTATACTATATTATTATATTGGTTTTATATTGGTTTAATATAATACACTATAATATAATATAATAGCTACAATAAAATATTAACTACAACTAATATAATATATTATATAATAATATATATTATTAAAGTATTATATAATATTATAATACTTTGTTGTACTATTATATAACTAGTATTTAGACCCGTGCAAAGCACGATTTCTAAAAGATTTTCTGCAAATTGGGGGACCTAATAACAGTTTTAACAATATAAGGGACTAATTCCAAAAAAGAAATATTTAAGGGACTAATATCGAAACTAAAAGGTAAAATTGCAATGAAACTCACTCTTCTTTTAACTAATACATGAACCTACAAAATTACCTTATGAATCCTTCCCCTCAAGTTATATATTTTGAGGAATAATAGTGTAGATGAAAAAGTTTCAACCGGCGATTCATCGTGAGGATGCTCATTCCTGCAAGTTATAGCTTATTATACCAATAAATTTAGCAGCTGTAATATTCCAATTATGCGAGAATCATCAACTTTTATCAACAGTTTGACGATGCAGAAGTTTCCTTCTAGGAATATGAAATTATTATATATATATTTAGACCCGTGCAAAGCACGGTTTCTGAAAGATTTTCTACAAATATTGAACGTATGTAAAGTGAATCGAAGACGGTTACAATTTGCTCCTTCAAATATTTAACATGAACTTCCAAGTATTTAGTCCATCCAATATAGGCATCAGAAACAATTTCCTCCAAATTTAAAAATAGATTATGTTTCTCAGAAAGTAATATTTCAACTTACTCCTAACCGATAAGAACCAAATGTAAAAATAACTATTCGATATAATCCATGACATGTAAAAATAACTAAATGTAATATTTCAACTTACTCCTAAGTGACATGTTGCCTAGCTTTCTAGGTAAACATTTAGTAATCCATGACACCAATAACTATTCGATATAATAGTTTCTCCAAAAAAGTAATAAAATAAAATAAAACACAGTAAGGATCATGACATCTACAGAATCAAAATATCGATACATATATACGACTACAGTTTATCACATTTATATTCTTCCGAGTGGACTACAATTAAGAATAATTTCTACATGACTGCTTGATGCATTAAGCAACAATAATTTCTACCTTGATGACACGTGACAAATATTGTTCATAAAGGAAATATGAAGTCCCAATGTTCTATTAGGACTGATTTTTTTTATAAAAAAAAAGATAAATGGAAAATTTCACCTCAATGTCACTCGAATGGTTTGTGAAGTAAAGTTCCCTTCGTAAGTTATAAGGTTGCCTCCCAACTGCAGTCTCCTCTGGAGTCATATACCAATGACATCTCATCCAGAAGCTCTTATGAGGTTCTTTCCATAACCTAGAGGAAGCCAAGCAGCCCAAAACATGAATAAATAATATACTTCATATTGTTAATTATTCAACTGAATCACATTTAACTCGTATATTATATTTCCATGATCACTTATTTTCATTAAAACAGTCCAAAGCATTGCACAGAGAACAAAAAGGTCCACAAAATAACAATTCACTATAACTCCAAAGCGGCTGATTGCTGACATCAAATACATAACAAAGTTCAAGTTTTGATTTTCATATTGGGACAATTTTCATCGATCAATCTTTAAAAAAAAGCATTCCTATAATTCTAACAGAACTTACAGAATTCACACATTTCTGGAAGGGAAAAAATGCAAATCTGAGAATTTCTTGCATGCCTCATGCCATCAACCTTTTTTTTATGTAAACATTTTCTTATAAGTTATAACCTTATCCTTATGCTCTATTATTCTGTTATATGAATATGAGCCAAGATCCTTTCTTTCTGTATAAAAAACATCCCCTCAATAGAAGATGTTACTTCTATCTAAGTTCTCCACTTAGATCAAGAATCAAACATGTATCATATCCAAATATAAGGACATCAAATATCACAAATGTATTAATGAGTCCAACATGATTTACTGATTGAAAAGTGACATACTGAACAACATAATAGCGATTCATAGAAACGATCGAGGGGCATTTCAGTTCGCCGCCGTCTGCGGCTGGGTCGCAGAGAGAGAGGCTGTAGAAGGCGGACATGAAGCCAATCCAACAACATGCATAAAGAAATTTCAATTAGAATCGAACACAAAACATGCATACAAATTTGAAAATATGCAAAAGAGTTGTACTAATAGTAATTTAGATTTGGATTTATACAAATTTGGAAATTTAGATTTGGTGTTAAACTAACCTCGCTAAACCACAGAAAACATCACACTGGGCATCTTTAAGTGTCTTCCCCTGTTCAGTTGTAATATTCATAGCAAGCTTATCCTGAAAAAAAAACACAGATATCAATCTGTTATCTTTTGAGATCTGGAGCTAATACCCAAAACCCATTATTCCACACACACAAAAACAAACAAAAGCAAAAAAAATTTAAAAACTGGAGCTAATACCCAAAACCCATTATTCCACACACACAAAAACAAACAAAAGCAAAAAAAATTTAAAAAAAGGAAAAGGAAAAGGAAAATCATTATTCCACACACACAAAAACAAACAAAAGCAAAAAAAATTTAAAAAAAGGAAAAGGAAAAGGAAAATCATGAACAAAATCAAGAGCAAAATGCAAGCAATCCCGCTTATTTGGATTCAGATCCCACAATTACGAAACAAACCCAGTTGAGATCTCCATTTGAGCAATAATAAATCAAATTAAAGGGAGTAACATAAATTTTTCCTCGGCCCTCTTTTGAAGGGAGTAACACAAATCGCAGTGTAGAGAAGGAAAAAGGCCATTTTTTTAACTCAAAACTCTGCCCTTTCCTTAAAAAAAGAGGGTAACCGTCAATTTAGCCAGTCAATTTAGCCAATGTTAAGGAACCCTAATTTTTAAAGTGTCGCCGGCGATGACGAACTCGGAGACGCTGAGGACGCCTTTCTCCTTGAAAGCGGAGACCGCTCGAGGGCTCGTGATCCTCTCCATCGTGCCCTTGAACGCTTCGTGCAGTTTCTGCGTGAAAACCATCGCTGGACTTAACCCTAAAAAGAGAGAAGATATTAGATTTTTAGATTGATTTGGGGGAGAAATCAGAGCTGGGATCAAAAGTTAGGAGAATGTTGCGTGTAATTTGACTCCACATAGCCTAGACGCTTTGAAGAGATCAATGGAGAGAGGAGGTGACGGAGCGCGATCGCATCCTTGTCGTCATCGCTTGACTGGCGAAGAAGAGCAGAGAGAGAGAGAGAGAGGAGATGAGAAATAGTGAAGATGAGATTGTGAACATTTGAAATACTGGATAACAGTTGTCCATATATTTAGGGGAAGTTTGGAGAACGTGACCGGTAAAAAGAAAGAAGGCGTAGATTTTGTAGGAGAACGTGGTTTCATTTTATTTTTTCATTGTTCAGATCTTTAGGTTTTTAAAAATATATTTTTTAGGAATAATCTGATTGGTCCAAATCAGATATACTGTTCATAAGAGCTTTTTGAGTGTTCTCCTTTAGTAAATAAGAAGTAGATATAGTATGTGATATTGCATAATAATATATAATAAATATAATAGAATAAATTATACATATTAAGTAAACATAATAATATTCTATTACATGATAATGTAATATAATATATTGAATATACTTTATATTTTATATATCATGTTATATATTTATAATATAATTAGCATGTATTAGTTAAGTAATACAAAAATGTTTCAAAATTATCCCAATTGCCTTCAAAGGGGAACATAATTGTTCCAATATGGAGGAAATTTTTACTATTTGTACAAATATTGCTATATGAGTGGGATAATTTTATCCCAAGTGGTGAAACTGTTCCACTAGTGTTCCAATAAACCAACAACACTAAAAGGTAATATCTTTGTTCCATTGTCCCAATGAATAACACCATAAAATATAATCCCCAAAAATATTCCATTATCCTCTCAAATGTCCCAATGAATAACGCCCCTAAACTTCTTTTTAGTTGTAAATTGCTATACTTGGTTGTCAGATTAATTATGTCTAAATACATTTGTTTTTTTTTAAGTTTTAGTCTCTTAAATCTTTCATATTTTGAAATTAGTCCCTCAAAGCATTGAAATTGACATTAGGTTCACCAATTTTTACATTATTTTGAAACTAGTCCCTCAAATAATTGCAGTTGCTATTAGGTCCCCAATTCTTACATTCTTTTGAAATTAATCCATCCAATCAAGGATAGAAATGTCAATTGGAGGGATTAATTTGAAACAATTTATGAGAATTTGGGGACTCTATAGCAATTTCAATCATTTGAGGGACTATGTTCAAATTAACAGAAGAATTGGGAGACCTTATAGCTATTTCCATGATTTGAGGAACTAATTTCTAAATATGAAAGAACTTAAGGGCCTAATATTGGAAAAGCCCAATTTATTTTTCATTTAGAATAGTACACAAAACATGTAGAGTTTAATGAATCTTGTGTTTCAGTCTTGATTTTACAGAAATTAGCTTAGCACTCAAGATTTTGATGCGACTAATTAGATCTGCAAGCCATGAGTCAAAAGCAACTTTAGTGAGACGAGTCCTTTTCGAAAAATTCCATTTGTTAGTTCAGTTTTTCTGCTACCTGACAGTATATTTCTGTTTCTTTTGTCTCCTCCTGTTCTCTTTGTCCGCATTTTTTGGGTGTCCAAAATTCTGTTCAATCTTTAATATCATGGCTTTAGATGTTACACGTCAACTGACCAGCCAGTTAAGTGATACATCATAATCAATTCAAAACAATTAGCTAGATAACGAGTTAAGGGTTCTGATGTATGTCACAAAAATGAATTCATAAACCCAGAAATTTGACTAAACAATATTTCAAGTAATTATGGAAGAAAATTCAGATGTTAAATCCATCGGATTACCATATTTTCAGATACCCATCATATTTTCAATTACCCATTTGTTTTAATAGCTTCTTATGTATTACTGAGAACTGCTTAGGATCATCCATTCATTTGCAAATAAACATATTCATCTTGACTCGGTGAGTCGGTGATCATCTCAAACTGATTTTTTTTCCCTCCTTTAATTATCCTGGTGAAGATCACTCTACATTCAAGGAGATTGCAAGGAATTCAACCCACACCATACTAGCTGCTTGTGGAATCGAGCATCGAAGGAGCATGGTTACTTCTGTCAGTGAGCCTCCTGATAATTGTGTACATGATTCAGATGACGGACCTGAACATCTGTTGAAAGGTTGTTGCTCGTCTTGCTTTAACTCTTTCGTTAAGGATGTGGTGCGAAGGTTAATTGATACGAAAACTTAAATTTGTGGCTTAAAACTTTTAACCCCAAAGTTCGCAAAGTCACATCCGCTGCATGATTTAATGAGCACTGATGCTGCAGAGAGAGTTAACTCATGTTGCTCTTTTTCGAGGGACTCGGATTGTTACAGCGGCAATTTTTTTTTCATTATAAATTTATTGAAATTTATTACTTTTATGGATATTATAGTGGCAACCTGTTCTTTACAATTTCATTGGATTTATTTTTATACCTACTACTGTTGCATAGTGTAAATTGTGAACAGTGTAAATTGTGAAAAGTCTTCAGAGTTTCCTTTCAGCGAGTTTGAGTAGAGTCAAAAGGATAGGCGTTGTGCGTCGGGCATTTCTTCCAATCTGCAGAAACCAGACTGAAACTTATACGTGTCAATTTTATCGTGATTTGGGGGATGATTTTGTTATCTTTTGTTTTTAACGGATGGACGTGATCCTTGCCCAAAGGCGAGATGCTTCGTCGTGTCTGCAGTTGTCGCAACTTCAGCCGTTCCCTTTGCCAAAGGGTTATCTAGGTTCACCGGCAGAGTATGGACGCTTGTAAAACGAAAAGGTTGAAGGGAGATCCTGTAAGATTCCGATTGAGGATGATCTGATTTATTGCGGCAAATCAGAATGAGTCAGATGGATGACAGAGTCATAGATGACTATAATCTGCCTACGAAACACTACAGATTAAATTTTGTAAGACAGCTCATGCCATCAAGATTTCCTTAGCATAAATCAAAAGTCCGACGATCAAGAAACAAAAATTGCAAAAAATGGATGTAGGATAAATGATAACGTTATGATATATTTGTAGATATATTATAAGAGATAGGACCAAAATGAGCCCATTTATAGGGAACTTTCTGTTTTATTTTCGCAATGGGAAACTTGGTGGGGGGGATTCCTACACTTGAGGAAGAGTTTAAAACTTCACACCATCAGGAGGAGGACCCGACCCTTTTCAGAAAACACAACTTGGAATTTAGGTTCGCTTTAAATCCACCCCCAATTTCAAAAAAGGTGGCAAGATGCCCGAATCCGTAACTGTTAAGCGGGAAACAACCTTATCCATCCATCTATCCTGGTGGACCTAATGGGTGCGTTTACACTGAGAATGAAAAGCGCACCCATGTGGTGGACCTAATGGGCGTGTTTACATTGAGAATGAAAGTGAAAATTACTTGAGATATGGGTTGTCCCCTTTGTTATGGCGTCTCTAGTCATCAAAGTGCAGCCATTTACCAGCTACGGACATGTGTCCTCCTACATGTACTACTCAAATTAAATTGACGGTTAAGATCACCAGAAATCTCGACTTAGCCGACTCGTTAAGTCGACATCTCCTTAGATCGACTCGAGAGGCGGTGCTTGTCGGTCCCCTTGTCGAAGGCGACTCGCTGTGAGCCCGCTCGACCAATTATTCAACACCTTACGGGATCGACTCGAGAAGCGTTACTTCTCGATCAAGCCAAAGGACGACTTCAAGCCCGAGCCTCTCCCGCTGACAGAACGTCGGTGTCACATTAAACGCTTGGCAGATGCCATCATTCCTCTAGCCCCGATAGTCTTCATGACTTATCGGACCACGTCGGTACCGTCATGCCCCTAAGCACTTCGCATTTAATACCGAGGTGACCTCTCCTCCACTCGTCGACCGACACCTGTAAAGTAGGTGCTGACGCAGCCGCCAACCCATACTCATTTACCGCCATCCTTTACTCGGTTGAGATTACCAATCTACCCTTTTTCCGCCAATATAAAAAGATGTACTATTCCAAAAGCAATTTCTGAGCTTTTTTCAACATTCTACTGCACTTAAGAACTCACGCAGTTCATCACTTTCTCACTCAAGTTAATCAACTGACTTGATCGTCGAAGGAACAACGGGATAACTAGTCCCCGTCCTCTTACGAGCTGCTATTTGTGCAGGCTGAAGCCACCCAACTCAAAACCAGATATCCGAAGAAGTGAGCAACCCCTAATCAACCTCACCCCAATTATAATTATCTGTTTGATTATTACAATCAACACCCTTGCAATGAGAGCTGTGTAAGAATTGAAACTAAAGCAACTTGACGATACTAAGAGCATATTTGGCAAATGACTTAATTTAACTTATAAGTTAACTTTTCCTTTTAAGGATCAAAGATCATGTCTGATAAATGTTATTTATTTACTTATTTTATCCCTTATAAATAGGGGGATAAAAGAAGTTGAGATTTTTCCAACTTTTTTTTTTGGATAATTGTTATGAGGTGGTTTACTTATTGATGCTAAAAAAGTAAAAAAAAAATAATAACTAACTTATAAGATTTCAAAAAATAAGTCTTAGCCAAGTCAGTCCCCATATAGAAGTGAAATGTCGGATATGTTCTTTTAAGAGTGTTTGGCAACTCTCACAAAGCTGGCCCGGGTTCAATCATGTTCCGATTTTGTTCTAAACCGGGTTTTTTTTCCAAATATAACACTCCCCTGGTCCCATTTCGCTGGGGGGTAAAAACCTAATTTCATTTTCACGAGTTGTCAAATATGTCGATTATTGTTGTTGTTGCTGTTGTTTTCCCCTTGTACGTTACTC